GCATGGTTACAGCCCAGCAGTTACTGAGGGGTGGGAATGTGGTGGCAAGGGTGGGAGGGATACTGAGTGCACAGGTAGGCTTGCTGGCCAAAGCGCCACTGATGGATCAACAGCAACCCAGGGCTCTGGGCAAGCAAGGAAATGCTTTGTACCATTATTTGTCTCATCTTCCATCTCAGGAAGGCTGGAGCCCTGCAACTCAGCACATAAATGTTCTCTGTGCTATTCTTGCTCACTATAAAACTGAACTGAGATGGGCTTGGTCCACCTCAGAATAGCCACAATCACCCACTTTCAAGGAGAATAAAAGTAGATTTTGAAAGTCTGAATTTGCCAAGTATGGCTGGTTTTCCCCTGGCCTTGTGGGAGAGCCTTATTCATGGCAGTACATCTTGCCTTGGCCGATACTAACAGCACTCCACACTGGCCAGCAGAGAAACAATTTTTAATGCCAAGACCCCCTAAGCCTCAGCTGCCTGTGCAAACAGACCCCCAGTGTAACATGGAGAAGGGGCTCCAAAGAAAGTGGAACAATATAGATTCTGAAGTAATTGTAGTTTGGCTTGGGGAAGAAGGGGCATAAAGGAAGCATTTTCCTTGTGAGAACGGCTTTTTTTTAAAAGAGGATGAGTTGGAGACCCCAAAACAGATTCATTAGGACAGATTTTGCCTCAAACCCTGGCAAAACTCTTAGTTTAACATTTAGGATATACTAATAGCTTTTGTTGTAATACAGACTAGGTCAACTCCAAACCCATCTTCAAAAAAATATCTGATTCCACGAGTACTTTGTCCACATGGTAAAAGCCAGCCCTTAATGTTCTACCCTTTAATAACTCAGGATGTTAGCTGTTAAGTCCATTTGTCTCTTGCCTTACTTGTTTAAAGCTTTCTCCAGATATTCCTGGATCCACTTTAACTTGGGATCAATGCACACTTGCTTGCTGTTGCTCTTGAGCCTTGCACTGCCAAAGGAGAAAAGTCAGAGTGAGTCTAGTGTGCAATGCTGCTCAGCCCACACACACCACCCACCCCCTGACGCCTTATTTTCCTTGGGTGTCAGTGCTGTTCACAGTTAACCCACGAAGAATATGGGTTATTCCTGCTCTCCTTGAGGCACCTATTATAAAAATCCCTGGTTTTGAAGCACTGGTACCATCTGTCTCCTCTGACACTGATTCCCGTGGTCTGTACTGGGATGCATGTGAGGGTGTGACCGATACAGAACTCGAATCTAAGTTGTCCAGTTCGTACCTGCTCTGTAATGAGTTCAGTGCTGACAACAGCTAAATTAATTTGGAAATAAAGACACAGTAAATCCAGGTCATTTTTTGCAAGGAATGAATTAAGAACAGCTTTCAGATTCAACCTAAAATTGAAGTTCCACAAATTTTGAGGACAGACACCAAACCATACCTCTTGGATACTCTGAAAGGGCCTAGCCACTCATTAGCTTTTTGTTTTATACAAAACTGAACTAACAGGTTGCAGGCAGGAAGACAACTGCAAGTACTATAGTGACAGAGGCAAGTTTTCTTTCACTATTCACTCAGCACTGGAAACAAAAGCAGAAACCTCCTGAGGGTTTTCTCCTGGATGTCCAAGCTGCACTTTCCACACCAGACTATTTAGCTAATTTTACTTCCCTGTGAATTTGGCATTTGGGCTATCTGCATCTTTCATACAGAAGCAGTACAAATATCTTTTCACCTGCATCAGCAGGTCTCACCCTCCAGAGATCTCAGGGCCTCTTGAGAGTGCTGTGATTTCCCACATTCCCTGAAGCACCCTGCCTCTGCCACAGCTGCGCAGAAATTTCCCCTTGAACAGCCTGCCTGCCAGGCAAAAGTGCCAAGAACAGCAATTTCATGGAAATGCCCATAGGAATAAGTTCAGTACTTGCTGGATGGAAGCCAAAATGTTCCCTGTTTTATAAAATGAAATCTGCAGAATATAAAACTATGGCGTAAGAAATAACAGGTCAAAAAGGCTCCTTGGTCTGAAGTTATGCAACAACACAGTTGTAACATAAACACATCTAACACTCTTGCAAGCCTTGCACCAATAAAGAGATGAATGTGCCTAATTCATATTTCCCTTACAGCAGTGCCCAGCTGGAGTATTTCCAGTGAAGTGATACCAACATAGACTATGAATGGATTTGCTGATGTCAGCAATGCCTGGGAACACTCGAGCTGGCCTTGCAGGGTACAGAACCAAAAGCACACATAACCAGCCTCCAGCTACATGCAGTGCAATTCCTCTCACCTAACTAAGGTGAGAGAACAACGTCTTAATTAAGACATTGATTTTTCTAGACTTATTTCTGAGCCTGTCAGCCCCTGCTCCTTGTATAGACACAGCAGAGACCTAGGCAAGTGCAATTGTTAATCTGAACTGGTTTAGGTGTCTACTTTAGGGTGCAATTAATTGCATGCTAAAAATACCTATTTCACTGTACTGAAAAGCAGGGAATTTAGGGTGGGCTCCATAGAAGCAGACATTGACAGAGGAAATTTTTTTATTTGGAGAGATGACTTCCAATAGAACCAAAGATGCAAGCCTGCTCTTAGGCTTGGGTACAATTCCCCTCAACCATAAAGGGGAATGTACTTGTGCACCAAGAGAAGCGTGACCAGCAGGTTGAGGGAGGTGATTCTGCCCCTCTGCTCTGCTCTCGTGAGACCCCACCTGGAGTACATGGCAGGAGGGTTGGAACGAGATGATTTCTAAGGTCCCTTCCAATCCAAACCATTCTATGATTCTATGAAAAAAAAACACAAAATCTTTCCTTGGAATTACATAATTTCACCGAGATTCTCTACTCCTGAAAATGGTAGCTTTTAAGTTACTTACACCTCCACTGTATAATGCATACCCACTAAATTCAGAGTGTGCTTAAAAACATCAAGATGAAAAATCTATATGTTAGTTTTGATTCTATTTCAGCTTCTGTTTCAGTAAAGACCTAGTTCAAACTCATGATGTTTCAGGGGTATTTGGAGATAAGTTTTTAAGTACCTAACTTTTTAAAGTAACAAAAAGATGGCGAACTGTAGGTTCACGTGTTCCATGTGCCACTAAATCACATTGCGAACAAACACATTTGGGTCAGGAATGGACAAGAACATGAGTTGTTTTGTGTTTCTGAATTTCATGCTCTTATCTATCTCTAATGACTATGATCCCACGTTAATTAAGAGATCAATGTATACTCTATCCTGTCTTAACTGCCTGTCATTTTCTTGAAACTACTCCAGAAATTCCAAATCCTCTACAAAGCCTTAGTGCTGGGACCCTTATGACATTCATTGATGGTCCCAGAGCACAAATCCATACACTATTGCATTTTGGATGCTTGCCTCCAAAATTGTTTATAGGTAGAGACCAGAGTTAGTCACAGCTGGTTTTGACATTTTAGTGAAAGGAAATGACTTCTCAGCTGAGGCTTACATTTTTCTCACTGTCCTCCACCAAATCCTGAGGCATAAGCACACATGAGAAAATGTGTATGATCTACCCAGACTGGTTTAAAAAAGAAAAAAATCATACGAATAAAAACTGGTTCATGAACGGATAGACGCTCTTCAATACATCTGCACATTCTTGAGAAATATCATGAAACCACTTAAGTTTTCTGAGTGCAGAAATGTTTTGGATGACAAAGAATGGATTTCTACAGTATTTGAGTTGCAACTGCAAGAGCTCGACATGGATCAAAGACAGAACTAGTGATGGGAGCACTGTGCAGAAACCCAGTCTAGTCACTGAGACCCTCTTACGTGAGGTCAACAGAAGTTAATAGTAGTAAGGCTCCCTTGCAATGAAAAGATGAATGCTATTGTTTTTCTTCTGAAGGTTTTGAATTTGGGGAGAGGAGGCAGGGGGTCACTGATGAACAAATGAACCAAAACCACCTTCCTAAAACCACACACACACACAAACCTACAATCCCATTTTTCATGAAAAGCAATTTTTCTTTTTCAGCAAAAATGAAGAGGTTATTTTCCATTGAGAACCCATCACCTCTGTCCTGCTGTGATCTGAGATTTATCGGAGTCAGCCCCTGCTTGGTTAAGCGTGCCCCTAGATCAGGCCAGTGCATGTTTAGGGTCTGCACTGCCTGTGGAGGCTACATGAAACCCAGGAATTCCTTTTGCTTGTTTAGCTCCTCTCTGTGGAGAAGTGGAGCATTAGAAGACTCAGACCACCACAGAGTCTTTTCCCCAAGGTGTGAAGTTCCACATCCAAGGCAATGGACAGTGCTGTCTGACATGCCTGCTCACATACCTATGAGGGAACAGGACATGGGATCACATAGTCACAGGGAGATCACAGAGGTAGAACACAGCTGGGAAACATCTAGCGGGGCTCCTTTGTGTGGGGTAAAGCAGGGTCCAGCTGTATCTGACACATGGGATGATGAGATGAATTGGAAATTATGGCATGAAACAGACCGAATTGCAGCCACCAAAGCAAGAACTAGATCTGTGACTCTTCTTTTTGACACCTGAGATTTGCACCCAGCTGAAAGAGTAAGACTTACACAATCTGAAGTGAGCAGTTGGGTGTGGAGAGGATTTTGAGGTGCTTAATGTTGGCTTTTGCCACGTTGCTCTCGTAGAATCGACAGGGGCATCGGTAAGTCAGGCTGACGGGTTTCTCTGCGGGACACAGGGAGAGAAAGGACACGTTACTCCCTCTTGTTCCTGGTCAGCAGCACAGATAAACAGACAAGGATGACAGAAACGCCCTCCAAATATGCAGGTGAAAAAAAACACAATAGAAAAGCTGTAGCTTTGGGAGAGCATTTGCCCACTGCTCACAGCACAATCCTTTTACCCCAGGCCCCAGCCTTTCAATAATTGTGCGTGGGATTTTGGAAGACAAAAGAAGAGGGAGAGAAAATGGAGATAAGTAAAGAAGAAGAGATTAGAATAAGGAGCTGCTCCATTGTGCAGGGATGCTCCTGGTAATTAGACAAGATAAAGGCCAAAAGAACGGGCACTTGTCCTCACTGTTGTTCTTGCCAAATGATTTTGACCCGAGGCCAAATTAGAAGGTAGCAAGAAGAAAGCTATGAATTCCAAAGGCTTCAGATCAAAACGGCTCGGCTCAGGTGCAGGCTTTTCACTGGGAGGACTTAGGGGCTACAGAAAAGCCCTGAGTCTTTCAGGCTTTCCCAGGGCCCAGCAGCTGACCTTTCCCCACTGCCGCCAACCTCTACTCCCAGCCGGGATATTCGCAGAGGAGGTGCGACCCAGAGATGCGGGATCATGATGGTTTCGCAGGAGAGATTTGGAGTCTTTTGAACTCCTGGTCTGTGGCAAAGTAACAGCAATCCGAAGAGACAGTTCCAGGCAGGGCACTCTCCATATACTAATCGGGGACGACCAGACTGGATGAGACTCTTGTCACTGCCAACATTAGGGACAGAATTAAGTTGAGCCCCCTAAACAAAAAATCAGCAATGAATATGCAGAACTGAGAAAAGCAGCCTGGCTCTCACCACAGCCTCTGATGGAGTCCTGCAACCCGATTGCTCCATGGAAGAACTGAATTACTGACAACCAAGTGCACATAAATAAGGTCCTTACTCTGTGTATAAGTTTCAAAGCTCCATGCACACTAAAATACAAACACAGAAGCCTTGCCTGGAAGTCTCAGAGGAGTTGCCTAAGATTTTAAACGATTTCCCACTGGAGCAGTTTTCAGCCTTGGAGAGGAATTAAATGGGACCTAACCCATAAGGTCTGGCTCATGCTGTAGATGGTCAGATCTGTATCTGACAGGGCTTTAGATCCCACATGGCAATTTGCCGCCTTGTTGATTTAGTCACACAGGAGCACTGGCAGCATCCAAACCCAGCTCCCTTAAAGGCAGATGGAGAGCTAAAGAGGAGGGAAAGGCTTGGAATCCTTAAACTGCTGTCTAGGAAGGTGAGAAAAGAGACAGGTTTTCTAAAGTGCAGCTGATCTACATATATTGCACATTTACCAGTGCCTGTTTCTAGCACACATAACCACAGACAACAGTGAAATTACCCTCAGGAGGGAAACCCCTTTTTTCCAAAAGCCTCTACCAAGATACAAGCCATAACCAGATCCCACCTGCAGATGGGCAAACACAGAGGAATTAATTAGTGGGAACAGAGTTCTTCCAGATTCACACCAGGATCTGGAGTATAAGTTAATAAAATTGGAGGACTTTTTTGATCATCTTTATGGCTGTCCAAACTCATCTATGAGTTAATAAATGGGAGAAGCTCCCGTCTGCAGGGGGAAGAGGAAGGAGGACCGCAGGGTGAGCCTCGCAAACATGCACTATACCGACTAGGGCTAATGTGGAAGGGAGGGAGAAAGGCACTAGGATTTCCCACTGCAAATCTATGCCTGCTAGCCATGCATCAGTGGGTTTATACTGGAAAGGGAGGCTGAAGTTGAATGCAGCCATATAACAACACTCAGCACAGCTGCAGAGAAGTGCCTCTGCAGGCTTGTACCAAACAAATTTAAGGAAGCTTTACCTAAATATGCAAGAGATGAACTGTTCAGATCATGATGTGAGAATGCATTCACAGAATCACACAGAATCACAGAATCACAGAATGTTAGAGATTGGAAGGGACCTCGAAAGATCATCTAGTCCAATCCCCCTGCCGGAGCAGGACACCTAGATCATTCCTGTTCTCTCTGAGACTGAGAGGGGGACTTTCAATCCCATACCACTTGAAATCAGGAGCAGAGAAAGTTTAGCCATGACTAAAATGTCTGTAATTCCCAAAGTTGTGTCCTGCCCAGGAAAGGACATCCAGCACAGCAAGAAAGAGGTGATGCCCTAGCATTTGGTGTTCTTCTCTCACACCGATGTAAGGCGGAATGACAACTCCCCTTCCTAGCACAAGAATCCCGTTGGTGTTTCCATGCCCTTGCTCGGTGACCAGCAACATGCACAGAGCACCAGGGAGCCGGAGCACAGGCACTGGGTCAGCTCTCAGCACCACTAACAGGGAACCAGTATCTCCTGCCACTGCACCCCCAGCGCTCCACTCGGGCTGCGAGAGCTTAGCTGCAGTTCACTGTCAGCAAGGCTGAAAAACAGGGAAAACTAGTACAAGAATCTCTACCATGCTAAAGTAGAAGGGGAAGGGGACATTTTGAGGCCATAATTTGGGAACAGGACATTGCTGGTCTGACCCCAAGGCTGACAAACATCTCTTCCTCATCTCATCTAAAAATCTGAAACAAATTGTTCCATGCACAGTACAGCTGATTAAGCAAGCCACTTATTCTACAGGTTTGTACTGCAGGAGTAAATGCTGTGTAGGTTCTCTGATGTCTAATAAATCCTAAGCAGAAGCTGAAGCCATTCTCTCAGTAGGATGAATTAGTACAGTCTGTTAATAGCACTGTTAGATGAAAACACCAGTTTTCATGAAACTGATGGTACATATAAAGCTTTCAAGACCTTTATCTGTCTGGCACATTTGGTCGAAAGGGGTGAATTTAGTCAAAAGTTACCAAAGAGACAGACACTATTCAGACATCTCAGTATCATTCCTTCAGCCTTATCTCCCTAGATGACAAGAAAAGGAAAACACTTCTTTTGGTCTCAACTGAAAGTGTTCTTGGTTTTGGCTGTTGCTTGTTGGGGTTTTTTAAATAAGAAATACTTTTGCTGTTTTCTAACTCAAAGCTGAGTTTTGCTGGCTCTGAATGCCCACTTCTGCTGGCAGATTCTCACTAGAGACAAAGCGCTCACAAAAATCTCCCTCATAGAGTGGACACTTGTCAAAGTTGGATGGCACCTATTTCACCCGGTAGGGATCTGCCTCGCCTCACCTACACTGGAACTGGACAGTAAGGAAACAAACGAGTTGCCAGTTCTGTTGCAGAGTTATCATCAGTAACTTGCTGTGTGGGTTGAGAAGCTCTAGGCACTTGAACGGAGAGGGAAACTATATTCAAGCAAGCAGGCTGGGCATGAACAGGCAAAATGTTTGAAGGAAGCATCGTTTTACTCCTGTTAATCCAAGGATGCGTTTGTCAATATCAGGATATGGCTAGCAACTTTTCAAGACTAGAATAGCGCCGTTCTCCTGAGGAGTGAGGCTGTGATAGGCAGATACAGTGTTACCAGGGTGGCTAGGAAGAATTCAGAGCTCACCTGCCCTCCAGGACAAGGTAGACCTGTAAGCCCTCATCTGGATCAGGGTTGAGAGAACTACATGACATGCAAAGAAGCAGGCAAAAAACTCGACTCTTATCATTGCAAGCTGATGGGAGTGTCTCTCCTTACACTAGTATTTCTCTAACTCTTTTAAACTGCTTCCTTACTCAGGTATTTTTTTTTCCCTCCCCCTGCCATAAAGACCTGTGCTAAGGGCTGCCAGAAGGGAGGAGAGCGGAAGACCCTGAGCCCCCGGCGGCCCCTCGTCCCCCAGTCTTGCACCCCCCGTCTGGGCTGCAGCCCTGGTGAGGACCGGCAGCGGTTCCCCATCTCGCTCCGGACCCACATTCGCCCTCACAGGCG